ATTCCCTGTTGTCTTGAAGGACTAGTATTTTAGCCACTAGCAACAGTATGAAGTTAACAAATATTCATGATGCTTTTATCACACAGCTTTTCACTATAATTGATGGACTGGAGTCCTTTTGTGGATTACTTGTGATGTTTTTATTAGCTGTTGGGACTCTCATTCTGACGGCACCCATTCACTGCAGAGGAACCACTGGTGAACAAGTGATGTAATGCAAAATTTCTCCTTTAAGATCACTGAAGATCTCTTTAAGTGTTAACATTCCCCTTCCATCACGATTTATCCACCTGTGCAGTGAAAGCTTAGCACATTCCTCTAATTACTTTTGCACTTCCTGAAGACAACTAGAATGGTTTCCTCTCCAGGACTCCAGTGCTGTGCTTACTCCCCGAGGACTGTGCTTCTCTGCCCTCAGCTTCATTATTCTGTTCCTTGCTCCCTGTAGTAGACAGCAGGTGCCGCCGCTCTAGCAGACATCTCCATACTGAATGTATCATTAGCACTAGGGCTCAGTGAGATGACAACGCGTTCACTCGGGCGCTTAAAATTAATAAAATAACTCATGAACGCATTGATTAAATCACAGTGGGGCACTGAATAATACTTGGAAAACAGCCTTAAGTGCAATGCAGTTTTCCCATCAGCTCTGGCTTTCTTTCTATTGATGCAGATCAGGGTCCACAGAAAAGAAACGGAGAATCAGATAAAGATGCACACCAGTGTTCCTCCATGCACTTGAATTGAAAGCTACAATGGACCCTTTTCACAAGACTGTGATGACGCAGTTCAACGGTCATCAGCATCAGAAATCCTCCAAAGGATTAAAAAAAATGCATGTACGTTTATAACACTACACTTTATATTATATTACAAAAAAATAAAAAAATACAAATAAAAAACCTAGTTAATGCTAATGCGAGGGTGTTTCTAATACAGCGTCTATGGGAGTGACGGTAAATGTAACAATTTAATCGAATTGTTATAAATTAACACAATAAAACATTAAACACTATCAATTCCCCTCTTTTCTAATCTTGCTCAAAAACACACAGAAATGATACTTAATTTCAACATGTTTATACTCCCTTTTATTCCCACGCAAAACATGCTGGGTTAACCTTCTTTAAAGGTTCTTTAAAGAACCATCTCTTTCTTACCTTTTTGTAATCTGAAGAACCTTCTTTCGCCACAAAGAACCTTTTGTGAAACAGAAAGGTTCTTCAGATGTTAAAGGTTCTTTATGGAACCATTCAGACAAAAAGGTTCTTCTATGGCATCGTGAAGCACCTTTATTTTTAAGAGTGTAGGGTAGATTTCAAGATTTTCAGTATCAACCGTGGCCATTTGTAAATTGATTTGTCTGGTTTCCGGTGTCATTTGCTTCCAATTATTTTTAGCTGTACAAAACAGCTGCTTGAAACAAAAAAGCTGGTATTACAAACCATATTATTTTAATGCATTTTCTTAATTAACAGTTTTACCGTTTACTGAACTTTGATATTCTTCTCGTTATTTCCCTACAGCTGCTAACAAATCAGAAGTCTCACACATGCACAGAAAACAGCTTACTTCCACGTTGAAAACTAAGGTGGATATAATGACTTAAATTTGGGCCCATCCCTGACGTAAAACTATTATATGACTTAGAATAGAGCACACGGGTCACATTGACTCCTTTTAAAATCTTGAAAGCGTCAGTTCCCATTCGTTGCAACTGCATAAAAGATTAAACACATCATTTTCAGGATTTCTCTCAAATGTTGTGTTTTAGGTCAACTATTTCTTTAAACACTCATTTAAAGGACTTTTACAAGTCTCAGAAACATTGCAATACAAATACTGCCCTCTTGTGGAGTCCTACTGCAGACAGTGACAAAAACCTCTCCTTTGGTTGAGTTAAAATCCTCCAAAAACCTCTCTTTTGGTTGAATGAATCCGGGTTAAAAATCATACACAACATCCAAGCATCAAAAACTAATATAACTATCAGTTCAACCTCTACAGAGGAAAACTTCCAAGCAACAGATCAGTTATTGAGGTTTTTTTTGCAATAACAGGCCTTACCTATTATGAACTCAATGACACAAGCTCTATGTCTATTTCCTCTCAGTTTCTATTTTTGACTGTTTACTGAGGAATAGAGAGAAAGTGATGAAAGAGCTTTATGATGCAATCACGGCTATAACAGAAAGGTTGTGCAGGTTTGATGCAAACGAGGCACAAAGTACAGCAAAGAGCTGAATGTCAACAGCTTCTCTTATGTTTGCCTCTTGCAATCATATTTTAAGAACAGAATGCTCTGTACACGAGTGGAGGCCAAAGACTGATGTTAACATTAGGAACTGCGAGGGTTTACTGATGCACATTATTCTGACAACAATTATTTAATATATTCCAGATGGATTTATTATGATTTGGGAAAACAATTTATGTAACACTGTCATGCTTGGGCGAGTTACTGGTGTGAAAAAAGCTTTTTATCTTGAATTTAGCCAGACAACATTAGGCATGAGCGAATGTCTTTCTTGCCCAAAGACAGATAATCAGGGAAAGATTATGGAATTTGAACATGAAAACAATATTTTCAGTAAAACCACACCAACGTTAAAAGATATAGTTCACCCAAAAATGAACATTTGCTGAAAATTTACTCACTCTCAGGTCATCGTAGATGTAGAGGAGTTTATTTTTTCATTGTAACAGACCTGGAGATTTTGTTCAGCAATGGATGCTCTGCAGTGAATGGGTGCCGTCAGAATGAGAGGCCAAACAGCTGATAAAAAAATCAC